TGTTCTAATTGCACATTGCCTTCACATTAATACCTCCAATTTGTAGATCATCTCCCTTATCAACCCCAAAAGGAAAAAAAATATCATGGATGAAGATTGAAGACTTAAGAAGGAGTGACAAAGCTTCCTCGTAGCTTAAACAACCTCCAAGGGACACTCTCAATCACTCTAGGTGGAGAAAAATTGTGGAAAGAAGAGAATTAACCAAACTCTCACAAAAGACATGTATAGACATTCAATTTTGCTATGTCAACAATGTTACCATTGGACACCATTAGTTAAAATAGAAATAACACGCGTTTTGTGAAGGCACATCGTCATCCCCATGATTCTTTGAAGTTAAATCTATCTTTTGACTTTGTAATGCTAGATGTGATTCCACTTGTATTTTCAAATCAATATTTTCTTATCTAATTATACTTGAAGTTTAGCTTGTAAGGAAAATTAATATAAATTAACTAAAATAGAAAACAATAGAAATTTGATAGTTTAGCTTGTAAGGAAAATTAATATAAATTAACTAAAATAGAAAACAATATAAATTTGATAAGAAATAGAATTGATTTTATTCACAAGTTTTAACACAAATAATAAGTAAAAAAATAACGTTATCAAATTTCTGATAGAATTTGTTAATCTAACATGGAGATCTTATATTAATTAAATATTAACTTAATTTATAATATATAAATGCATATAAACTTCATTTATAAACTAATTATATAATACCTATAGTTGAATGTTTAATGTTTTCAATGGAAAATACCTATAGTTGAAAAATACTGTATTTTTGGTTTTCTAGGAATATTGTATTTTTCCTTATAATACACGATTTTATCATATTTAGTGATTATTAATAGAGTTTTCAAAACGGATAATTCGGCTCGATCCGGTCCAGTCAATCACAGGTTGGTCACTTAGTGAGTCAATCAAACCCGCTCATTTATTTGCGAGCTAAAAATATTTGAACTCGACCCGACCCACCACGGATTGGTGGGTTAAACGGGTTGGTTCACTGACTCACTTAATTATAATTTTTTTAAATAAAAAATTTATATATATTTTTAATTTAAATCTAAATAAATTTCACTCTAAAATGATGTTAAACTCCAAAGACAATTAAAAAAATATCATACAATCCAAGCGTAATCCAAAAACAAGCACAAAAGCGAACAAATAAATTTTTAATATTGATAATTTTTGTATCACTTGTCCGTCTATATATTAGAGTCTTGAATAGATAGATCTATAATATTTTTTCTCTTGAAACATTTTTTTTATCCCATCTACAATATAATAAAAAAAATGTTAACTAATAATATTGAAACATAAAATAATAAATAATTGAATTAAATTAGGTGGGTTCACCAACCCGGTTCACCACGGGTTCAATCCAGGTGAGCCGGGTTATAAGTGAATCTGGTTGAAAACTAATCCGCATAAATAAGTTATATTTTTTTCCAACCCAACCCGGCTCAAAACCGTGATGGGCCGAGTTGACTCGCGGGTTACAAATCATTTTGAGAGCACTAATTATTATATTTCCTCCTATATTTCGTTTTTAAATTTTGGATAATTATGCAATGCATGTGATTAACTTTCTAGTTATCTGTTAATTGATATCAACACAAATAAGACCGATCCTTATTTAATTACTTATATATGCGTTGTATTGGTTCTTAAAATGGAGTTGCATGAAGTTATTATAAGATAGATTAATGGTTATAGAAAAAAAAAATAACAGTTTTCCAAATGAAAATAAGAATTATTGAGCACTACATAACATTAAATGACAGTATAACGCCGTGTTGAGTCCAATCGAAACCAGAAATTGTTAGAACCTATATATCTACCTGTGCTCAATGACCGAATGTGTCAATAACACCAGTAGAAATGCCAGTAAAAAATTTATCTCCACATATCTTTTTATTATTTTTTGGCCTCCACGTAATTGCTGAACTTTCTGTGATAATAGTCTGTTGTACCAATGGTCTGGAACCTAATTAAATTGCTGCTGAGCAATTTAATAAACCAATGTGTTGTCTCATTTTTTTTTATTAAGGAAAAACGTTGATGACCTTTTTACACGTGTGATCTCATCTCACATATTGGTTGAATATAGATAAAAACATTTTTTAAGGATTTAAGTGATGTTTTTAAAATTTTAAAAAATATATACCAGAAATAAAAATGATATTTCATTATTTAAGCTTTTCATCTGACCTACTAAAAAAATTAAGAATTCAAATTGAATTTTTTTATTAAAAATACTTGAAAGTCTAAACAAGACTTTTTATTTCCTTACGTTCACATTCTTTTTTATGACTGGTAGCCCGATTTTCTTGATCTTTACGTCCTCTATAAATTTAGGGAAGCCATTGACTACTAACTTTCATATCTAGACTGTTCAAAGTACCGAGCTACAGTAGCACACCGAGCAAAGAAAAAGAATGGGGAAACCAAGGTATGTAAGGGAGGGCTTCAGTATCACGTTATGTAGACTATCTGTGGGATTAAAAAATTTGTGTGATATTTAGGTTGCAGGGTAAGGTGGCCATTGTCACCGGCGGAGCCACCGGAATAGGAGCGGAAGCAGTGAGGATATTCGTGGAAAACGGAGCATCTGTGGTGATAGCAGACATAAAGGACGAACTGGGTCACAGTTTGGCAACTTCGTTTGGCTCAGAAAAAGTGAGTTATCGGCACTGTGACGTGAGAGACGAGAATGAAGTTGAAGAGACAGTGGCTTTCACAGTAGAGAAATATAGCAGCTTAGACATCCTGTTCAGCAACGCTGGCATCGCAGGACCCTATTCATCCTTACTGGATCTGGATCTCAACGAATTTGACAACACCATGGCCATTAACGTTCGTGGGGTAGCCGCAACCATCAAGCACGCGGCACGCGTCATGGTTGCTAAAAAAATCCGTGGATCCATAATTTGCACTGCCAGCGTGGCTTCGTCCGTCGGGGGAAGCGCGGGTCATGAGTACACCGTATCCAAACACGGCGTTCTTGGGCTTGTTCGGTCGGCGTGCGGCGAGTTTGGAGCTTATGGAATAAGAGTGAATTCCATCTCGCCTTATGCACTTGCCTCGCCTCTTACTTGCGACGCACTCGATTGGGGACCTGCTGAAGTTGATGCTGCGCAACATGGTTCTGCGAATTTGGAGGGGATTACGTTGAAGGCTAATCATATTGCGGAAGCTGCTCTGTTTCTTGCTTCTGATGAATCGCTTTATATCAGTGGCCACAACTTGGTCGTCGATGGAGGTTTCACCGCCGTTAATCGTTGGCTTCCTAGGATTCAAAAGTAACATATCCCAGAAGAAACAGAGGCAAGAAACACAGCAGCCTCCGCAGTATGATTAGTCTTCAATCTTGTCCACTGGGTCCAAATGTTTTTCTACGTTCTTCTTTCCTCTGTCTTCTGTAACTTTTAAATTCTTATTTCATGAGTTGAATTACTTCGGTGGTCACATGTGTGTAAAATTTATATATTGTAAGATGTCTTTACTTATTACATTATAGAGTATTAATCTTTCCTTACTTTTAATAATGAAAGCACGATTTAATCAGGAAAATGGAAAAATAATGAAAAACTAAATAATAATTTCATATAATAATAGTAGTAATAATAATACGAAAGTAACGAGTTAAATGAAGTTGATATAAACATAATTAAAGATTATTGGTGTGTGATAAGATCCACTTGACTTTGCTTCCTTTTTAAGTAAAAAATACATGGTTGGTTATTATAAAGTCTGTTAAATCTCAAACTAATGATATGTTCAAAATTATGTGTGAAGAAAAATAGAAAAGACCTTTCCCAAAGTTTGAACATATGATGGAAACGTAAGAATTTGTCAGCATTAACTTTTATATAACAAATTGAAAGTAATTAGATTACAATATGATTTGGATGGTTAGATAACACTTAAAAGTAATGATTTGGGTTGAGTTTGAATAAATTAGTTTTGTTATTTGGTTGAAATGGAACAAAGAGGAGTGTGATAAATGGAATATCTAGAAAAGTTTCTTTTAACTAAATGGCTTCATGTAGTTCACTTTCACTTTGGTTAGGTTAGAAACAACAACTAGCTAGAATACTGATTTCTTTAAAACTAGTTGAAAATAATAACACTTTACCATCTCTAGTAGTATTTATTTAGTTGTATTTCATTCGGCCGATTTATATATATATATTAAAGTGAAATTAACCTAATATATTAATTTAAAAGGACAATAAATGTACTAGATAAAAGAAAAGTAAAATTATAATCTAATCTCAAACCAACAATTTTTTGGATCTATTTGAATATAAGAAATTAAATAATAATCTTTAAATAATAGTAAATTTCAATTATTGGTGAATTTTGAAATGTCAAGATAAAATAAGTAAAATGGTAAAATGGACACTAATGCTTAACATGACTTTGAAACTAATAACTAACTTATTATTAGAAATAATTTAAATATAAAATATTTAAATTTTACATTAAAGTTGACGGTAAAAAATATTTCATTAATATCTTTTACAAATTTTACGAAAAAGATTGTTTTGATACCAAAACAACCATTTAATAACTCATTAAAAAGATAAAATATCATAAAAATTATGGATGTACACTAAATTTTACTCACGGTCAGGAATTGTTTTGATATTCTTACTCCAAAATTCAAATCATATACGCAACGAGGTCTATTATTGCAAACAACCACCAACCTGACAATATGACCCTACAGCTTCAGAAACACCTCAAGCCAAACCCGGAAAACGTGATTCGTTCATCTTTTTCAGCAGTACTACCACTTTTTTCTTCATTTGCTTTTTTTTTCGTAAACATGTTTTCCATCTTTTTTATAATATTTTAATATTATTTATGTGTGATTGTTTTATATTAATATTTATGATTATTATTATTGATTGTGAAATAATTTTGGACTAATAATATAATGACACGTATATAGTGTTAAAATATTGTCAAATTATCATTCCTTCTGCATTTATCTCTTATAAATATGGGGAAATTTTACACTAACAAGTCTCATATACAAAGTCTGAGCAAAGGTTAAGTCACGTAGCAATGTCCAAACAAAGGTCTGGCTTTCAATATTCTTTCCATTACCTACTCCAAGGATTGATAGTTTCAATCAATTCACTAGATTGCATGAATTTAGACTTTAAATCAAGAAAATTTGTTCTCCATCTTCTAAAATTACGCGATTTATCACCAATATATATATTATTATGGGGTAGAAAATCACACATTTTCAGAATGTCACCTGAAGATTAATTAACCACAATATGTTTATGTGATCTTTAGGCTGCAGGGTAAGGTGGCTATCGTCACCGGTGGAGCTGGCGGAATAGGAGCTGAAGCAGTGAGGATATTCGTCGAAAACGGAGCATCGGTGGTCATAGCAGACATCAAGGACGAATTAGGTCAGACGTATGCAGCTTCATTTGGGTCAGAGAAAGTGAGTTACCGCCACTGTGATGTGAGAGACGAGAAGCACGTCGAAGAAACAGTAGCTTTCGCGGTAGAGAAATATGGGAGCTTAGATATCCTGTTCAGCAATGCTGGCGTGGCGGGTCCTTTGTCAAGCATTCTAGCCTTCGATCTCACTGAATTTGACAACAGCATGGCCGTGCATCTTCGCGGTGCGGCAGCCTTCATCAAGCACGCGGCACGTGTCATGGTGGAAAGGAAGACACGTGGATCCATTATCTGCACGGCCAGCGTGGCTGGTTCCGTGGCCGGATGCGCGGGTCATGATTACACCACATCCAAACACGGCCTTGTTGGGCTTGTTCGGTCGACGTGCAGCGAGCTTGGAGCTTATGGCATAAGAGTGAATTCCATTTCACCTTATGCGGTTGCGACGCCTCTTACTTGTGAAGCCTTGGATATGACCGGTGGTGAAGTTGAAGCTGCAGGTCACGCTTTAGCGAATTTGCATGGAATCACGTTGAAGGCTAGCCATATTGCAGAAGCTGCTCTGTTTCTTGCTTCTGATGAATCGGCTTATATCAGTGGACACAACTTGGTCGTCGATGGAGGTTTCGTCGTTGTTAATCACGGTCTTCCATGCATTAAAAATTAAATTATCCAATCTGGAATGCTATCTTGCAATAGAAATCGAGTGAACAAAATGATGCCAGGTCATCCGTAGAGTGATTGTCCGTGATTGTCCTATGATAAAAATAATGATATTTGGATATCAAAATGTCCAAGTAATAAAATACTCGTTTTCTTAAAAGATTTCTGTAATATTAATATAGTCTATAACTTTTTAATATACTTGATATAAAAGAAGTAAAACTGACCTCAAGCAAATATTTTTTATTTTTAACATCATCGTCTTCTCTTTTTTTTTTCTTTTGTGTGTAACTCAACAAATAATTAAAAGTTGATTAATAAAATTATGAATCGTTCATCAATACATAACTTTAGAAAAACAAAATTAAGTCAAGATAATAAAAAATACTTTTCAATCGTAAGTGTTTAAAATTTAATGAATAATGATCATATTATATATATATATATATATATATATATATATATATATATATATATATATATATATATATATATATATTCTTCCAATATACAAGCATAAATATGAAACCATAACTAAAGTAACAATTTCATTGTGTTTGCAATTTGGAATTTGAATTTGAAACACAATAATATTTTTAACAATTTTTTCGAATACCAAAATCAGGTTCATTTCCAATTTTGGCTAACAAAAATCGCAAGTTTAATTATATATATATATATATATATATATATATATATTGAGAATTCAGATATAAGTTTAAATTTCAGGTTAAATAACCATCAGAAAGTTTTTATTTAGTAATAATCAAAATTTTATTGTCTTAAGGATTTAGGAATTAAGTTATGGAGGTTAGACTCATGTTTTATTAGTATTTATTTTATCAGTGAAATTTTTTAAAGAATTATCGTATCAGAACCTATAATTCAATTAAAATGACTATAATATAAGTGAAGAATTCTATATATAAGAATTTGCCGTATCAAAAATCTTTAAACCTAAAATTTCATATTAACATAACCCATAAGAAAAAATACAAAAATGAAAAACTGTTTTTCAAGTCACTTTTAAAATAACTTATCAAAGATATACTAAACCTCTTATATGTGTTTCAAATAGTTCATGCTCAACCTCAATTTTCAATCAAAAATCTAAACTCCAAATTTACCTTCATAGTTATACTTCATCTTTCAAAGATTTATCTACTAATTTCTTCAAAAAAAAATTATCTTTTTGTACAGTTTCTTTTTCTTATAAAATATTAAACTTATTGCATTAACATCAAATTTAATTAAAAGCAAAACTTAAATAAGAGACTTGCAAGATTAATGCTTTTATATAGGTATATAAAACACTTAGCAAATAACTATATAATTAAATATATTATTATTTTATTTTTTAGTTTTTATTCATATGTATTGTTATTATTATTATTTAAATATAATATTTTTTCATTAAAAAGGATAAGTAAGTTGATTGAAGAAAAACGGCCGTCATTAAATCATTAAATCACTTAAGTTTTAAGAATTTCGTTGGGAGTCAGTGTTCTCTTTATTTTAAATAAAAATATAATTAAGTTAAAATATAATTAAGTTAAAATACAAATATGTTTGGCTTTCAGTTTCTAAAATCTAAATTACGTGTTTAGATTTTTATATATTAAAATGTGTTATCTCAAATGGGCATCTTTAAACAATTTTTTTTCAGTTCGTTGTTTATGAAAATATAATGATATATTGACAAGAAGATTCTTCTAAATAATTAAGTTTCTATTTGGAGGCACCAATTTGTTGGTCCGAAAAAACGAGGAGCTTAGACTAAATGGAATTAATGTTATGTGAGGTCCCTCTCACTGTCTCTTCTGTAGGGACACTTTCTTTCAACTCCACATATCATTTACACAACTTTTCTTCATTCACCAACTTTTCTTAGGGCTTTTTCCCCCGATTCTTTTCATTACAAAACAATAATAATAATAATAATAATAATAATAATAATAATAATAATAATAATAATAATAATAATAATACAGTAGGACTTTGGAAAGGAGCTTAAAAAATAAAATTACAATCACTTAATAGTTTAAATTCATAATATTTTAATTATATTTATATATTTTTTAATTTAAAATTATAATCTATAATACTATATTATTTTAAAAAGTTTTAAAAAATGTATTTTAAAAGACAAGAAAAAAAGCATCTTGGTACAACCAAGATAATATAACATGAGAATCGAGTGGAGGAGAAGAAATGGAGAAGTTATTAAATTTCAGTCTTTTGATTGAATGAAATCATCATTGAAATTTTTTTCTTTTAAAAATTTAAGTATAATTTAAAATTTTTAAACAAAAATAAAAAAATTAATAATATATAAAAAGTAAAAATTTTATAACTATATTTCTTCTTTTAAAAAAATAATTGGAAAAAAATCGATAGTAAAATTAATTTATCAAATATAAATTAATGTTATTGAGTGAGAGTTAAAATTTTCCTTTTCAATTTAATACTTAAAAGTAATTGTTTTTTAATGAAAGTCTTCTGGTTAACACACTTAAATAAATACATAAATATTCTTAAACAAAATATCACACACAAAACATGTACGAGAGTTTTCAAAACACATTTTACTGCAAGGTGGCTAAATAGACAGAGATGCGTTTGGCCCCACAAAAATATAAATTTCAAAGATGGTGACACTCACGGAAGCACAACAATAATGGTGGAGAATTCGCTCACTCAAGCAAAAAGTGTAAAAATTCAAGATTTCGCTGCTAACTTTAAATAACTTTAAATAATTATCTATTAATTTCCTTCTTCTCATTATCTACTACATATTTTGATTATGTTTTTAAAGGAATGTTGTAATTAACCCGTATGCGATTTTCTTATCAAGAAAAATATAATATAAGATATCTATAATATATATATATATATATATAAATTCTGACAATACACAAGCATAAATATGAAACCATAACTAAAGTAACAATTTCATTGTGTTTGCAATTTGGAATTTGAATTTGAAACACAATAATATTTTTAACAATTTTTTCGAATACCAAAATCAGGTTCATTTCCAATTTTGGCTAACAAAAAATACTAATTTAATTATATATATATATATATATATATATATATATATATCTTTATTTATATATATTT